AATGCTGGGGGGTAGGAAGAGGGAGGACAGGGGAATCTGAGGTTGATATGTAAAATGAATAGAAAATCTCTAAATTAAAAAAATTCCTAATACCTGTATAGAATCAGACAAAGTGTTCTAAGTAGATTCTCACAATGAACTCATTTCAGCTCCTACCTCAGGTGTATAAGACCAATGAACCCTGTCTCCAAGTCAGCCTCCTTTTCCTCTCCCAGCCTATCAGGACACAGGTATTCATATTACAGTGTGGTGATATTGTGTTCCCCAAAATATTGTGCATCCTAATAAACTTATCTGGGGTCAGAGAACAGAACAGCCACTAGATATAGAGGCCAGAAAATGGTGGCACACACACCTTTAATCCTATCACTTGGGAGGCAGAGATCCTCTGGATCTTTGTGAGTTCAAGGCCACACTGGAAGCAGCCAGGCATGGTTACTCACATCTTTAATCCCAGGAAGTGATGGCAGAAAGCAGAAAGGTATTTAAGATATGAGGACCAGGAACTAGAGCCTGGTTAAGCTTCAGGCTTTTGAGTAGCAGTTCATCTGAGATTCATTCTGGATGAGGACACAGAGGCTTCCAGTCTGAGGAAACAGGATCAGCTGAGGAAATGTCAAGGTGAGGTGGCTATGGCTTGTTCTGATTCTCTGATCTTCCAGCATTCACCCAAATACCTGGCTTTGGATTTGATTTTATTAATAAGACCATTTAAGATTCATGCTACATTACAGTGCTTCTTCATTGAAAGGACATCATTAATGTATTTATGATATAAACAGTATTATTCTTCAAAGGATCTCTCTTGGATGTTGTGTATTGATAAGTCCTAAAGTCCTTTCTCTGCCTCCCTACTCAGACCTGTCCTTCTGACTTACCCATGCCACTCCATTTCCCCATTAGCATTTTTAACTTGCTGAGTAGAGCTGTTCACTATGACTTCTCCATAAATGACCAAGGTGACAATAGAGAGGCTGTGATGACTCAGAAACTTCCCAAACAGTTTCTAAGCTAATCTCCACCCCCCATCCAACTCCTCCAACCCCCACACCAAGAACCTAAATACAGCATGTGATGGGTAATCTGGGTTATCAACAGGACACACTTGGACAAAAGAGAACCTCAGATGAGGAATTGTCTCCATCTGATCTACCCATGGGGCATTTTCTTCACTGCCACATTGCTAATTGATAGAGAAGTGTTCAGCCTACTGTGGGAGGCACCATCCTTAGGCAAGTGAACCTGGGCTGTATAAAAAACTTAGGGATGGAGAGATATTTCAGCAGTTAAGAGCGCACTTGTTTTTGCAGAAGACATAGGGTAGAAGTGTGAGGAGGTGAAGGGAGTTTGGTTCCCAACATCCACGTGACAGTTCACCACTGTCTATGATTTCAGTTGAAGGGGGGATCTGATGCCCTCTTCTGGCCTTTAAAGGCACTGCACACATGTGGTACACATACATACATGTAGGCAAAACTCTCTTACTCATACAAAAATAAGTGGATCTTTTAAAAAGCGTTAAAAGAAAGACAGCAGAAGTTGAGCCTGGGTGCAATCTAGTAAGCAATGCCCCTCCATGGTCTCTCTGCTTCAGCTCCTGCCTCCAGGCTCCTGCCTCAGCATCCCATTGACAGTGGATTGAGTAATCTACAGGCTGACTTAAACTCTTTCCTAAATTGCTTTTGGTCATGGTGTTTATCACAGCAATCGAAAGCTAACTAGGATACAGTGTTTACCAATTATTAAGATGGGTTAGGGATTGGGGGACATGACAGCTTCCTGAAGCCACTAGCCACAATGTCTGTAACTAGAGTTTTCCTGCCTTGACCACAGTCAGGACAAATCTCTGTCACCCGCCAGTCCCACAGCCTCTCAGACCCAACCAAGTAAACACAGAGACTTATATAGCTTACAAACTGTATGGCCGTGGCAGGCTTCTTGCTAACTGTTCTTATAGCTTAAATTAACCCATTTCTATAAATCTATACCTTGCCACGTGGCTCATGGCTTACTGGCATCTTCACATGCTGCTTGTCCTGGAGGTGGCTAGCAGTGACTCCTTCTGCCTTCCTGTTCTTTCTTTTCTCCTCTCTGTTAGGCCCGCCTATACTTCCTGCCTAGCCACTGGCCAATCAGTGTTTTATTTATTGACCAATCAGAGCAATTTGACATACAGACCGTCCCACAGCACTGTCACCTTATTATGTTTCTCACAGTCAGACTCTTCCTTGTGCCAAGTATTGTTCCTCTAAAATTTAAACGAGGCATCAGGACATTGTGTCAGAAACTTCGAGGAGTCAGATGAATCAGGTGGTTGGGGAGGGGGAAGAGGAAGACCAGCGGAGTGCTGAGATCTCTGACTCGGAGTGGGCTAGGAGCAATTCTCTTCTCAAAAGTGTGCTACTAAATGTAGTTACCAGAAGTCGTTCTCTAAGTAGCAAAGTAAGAGACTTAGGAAGAGAGGAAGAAAACAACAACATGAACACCTCACCCACTACTGTGGATTAGAAGATGAGGGACTTTGTGATACCAGGTCTGGACTGAATGCCGCAGAGCTCGGGGCGAGCGGAAGGCTGAGTTGGCCTCTCTCCCCACGATGAGCAGCCCCCAACTCCGACCCTGATTCAGGAAGAAGCAATGCACAATTATTATGGCAGCCTCACTAGGAGGAGATTTCCATTAAGTCAGAGGGGTTTCTGAGAAGTCTTGTTGGTCAGTGCCACTTGAGAAGCACCAGGGGCCGCCCTGAAAGACATTGTCATTCAGCAGATTTAGGCCAACCCCACTTAAATGCCAACTTGTGGATTTTGCCCATGAATTCTGACAGAGTCCATCAAGCTCTCAAAAAAGTCCTTCTTTTGACCCTTCATGCTGTGTAGTTGAAAGTACTGAGGTCTGAATCTCAAATATCCCTTGCAAGCCCATGTTTTGAACGTGTTCTCAGAATATGCTCTGTCTTGAGAGACCACAAAATTTTACAGAATGGGGGCTATTTGTGGGGTGCCTTCACAGTGGGCAGAACTAGGTCATTTAGGGTCTACCTTTCTTCTTTATTTTTAAAATTACTGTGTGTGCACGTGTGTGTGTGTGTCTGTGTGTGTGTGTGTGTGTGTCTGTCTGTCTGTCTGTCTGTCTGTCATCAGTAGGTAATAAATCCTCACTAAGCCTCATAAGTTTACACAGGTTGTTTTTACCTGGTTACCCCACTGTCTACATCCTCCTCCATCTACACTAAATATCATTTCACCTCCATTTTACTAGCATTATACATTTCCCCCCAAAGCACAAATATTTCACTTCCCAAATATAATTTCGATTCCTCCTTTTTATTTACTTTTAATTTCAGACAGAGTCTCACTATGTAGCCCTGGTTGGCCTAGAACTCACTATGTAGACCAGGCTGGCCTTAGACACAGAAGTCTGCCTGCCTCTGTTTCCTGAGGGCTGGGATTGAGGATGTGTGTCACCACACAAAACTCAGATTTTTTTTTTTTAAATTGAAGCTTCCACAGTCTGAAGGAAAAAGAAAAAAAAAAGTCGGTGACCTATGCCCTACCAGCCAAGCCCAGACCAGTTTGTTCTTGTTTAACCTACCTGGTAAGATTGGGTCTTATGTTTTCTAATGATTGAGGGAAAAAAAGTCCAAAGAGTGATAATTTATAACAATGTGAAAATTGCTTGAAAATTAAAATGTCATTGTCCCTAATTAAAGTTATTCAGCACATACCCACTTTGAGTTTCCTCAGTCTTGTGACTGCTTTTCACTTACGATAGCCAAGCTGGCCAGTGGCAACAAAGACATGTGGCTGGCAGAACCCATCACTATCTGTCCGTTTTAGAAAAGTCTGCGGATGTCTGATACAAACTGCATCCCATCCCCCGGGTCTCTCCCTCCTAAACAAGCTGCTCTTCCTTCCGTGATGACATAACAAGGCCTTTTCTGTCTTAGAACCTCAGTTCCTCTCCTTCTTTGCCTACATCAGAGATTCCGAATCTTTTCTGACAAGGGCTAGAAAGAACTCTCATACTCCATTAATTGGGGTATAAATTGGCACAATCCTTTGGCCATTTCTCTATGATGCCCACTAGGCTAGACATGAATTTGCCTTACCCAGCAGAGGCTGTAGCTCAGGGGTACTCCCAACAGCACTTCTTACATGGGCACACAAGCAAAGGCACATACAGAAAAGGTCACTGTGGCATTGCCTGTAATAACCTTAAGTGGGAAAAGATTTAAAAGGTCAAGAGCACTAAAGTACGCTATAGTCTACTTCCCTAAAGAATGACGGAAATCTTACAATAATAAAGAACCAATGACTGTTGTGTACAGTACAAACCTCGCACAGAATGACGAACAAAGAAGCTACCCCCTAAATATTCCACACCGCATGTTAGCATGAATTTCAAAACCACGTCTGTCATGTTAGGAGATAAGTTGGCAATATCATTTCCTGTGGTCTCTGGGAAGCAGAACTGGAGTACGGGAAGTTTATTAGGGCTGTAATCTGAGGTAAGCGCCTGGAGGGGTGAGGGACACAGGCAGAAGGAGGTGAAGTCACAATCAGGGCCCTAGCTGGCCCGTAGAGCAGCTGTGCATGGACTCTGGCCTTTCAGGCTGGGGACTGGGCCTTCACAGCCCAGTTGTTTTCCTAGCAACTGGTCTGGAAGGATGCAGGACCTGGGGTAAGGCATGCATCCTTATGCATGAAGGCTCTCTTCATCCCCGGAGCATTGGAGAAGGAGTGGGCTGAGAGCTTTGGGCTGCTGACTCTCGTGGCAGCTGGATGCTTCTTCAGTGCTGGAGGAGGGCAGGAAGGACACTAAACCACTCATGCGAATGGTCCCTACTCAGAAGGGGAGTAACCGGAAGGGAGCTCCGAGCCAATGGCTGTCACAGGGCTGGCGATGTCCTGCTTGTTCAAGAGGTAGCATGTTCATCTGGACACATTTATGCCCATAATTTTGCCCTTTTCCATGGATATTGATCTTTATAAAAATGTGTATTTAAGATTATTTAGGTGAGAGAATGGAATCAGCCTGAGGGGGCAGGAGACTTGAGGGAAGGTAGTGGAGGAGGAGAACAAATGAAAACAAAGGAAGGTGAATATGTTTATAACGCTTATGAAAATAATAAAATCCGTTACTTGGTGTGCTACACTAAAACACTAGAAAAAGAAATTGTGTGAGAAAAACAAAAGAAAGTGATGATAAGGATGAAACTGGGGGAAAAGGAGGAGCCACAGGGCCGTTCTCTGCACAGTGGGACTCTTGAGATGAATGAATGAATGAAGAAAGGCAGGGCCGGAGAGGGGGCTCAGTGGTTAAGAGCACTTGCTCCTCCTGCAGAAGACTCCGGTTCAGTTTTTAGCACTCACAGGGCATCTCACAACCACCTGTAACTTGAGATGTCTGGGATTTACCTTCCTCTGACTTCTGAGGGCTCTGGCATGTACACAGAGCACATAAACTCATGCCAGAGCACATACACACACACATACAAATAATAAACTATTTATTTTGTTTTGAATAGAAAATAATTGAAGACCCAGGTGGAAGTATCCAGTGAAAAGGAAACCATTTTATATACTAGAAAATCAGGGATGGTTGATGGAGGGTCACTCCTAAGAACGTGGAAAGAAATAAGTTTCGAGCACAGCCTCATATGGGAATATGTCTAACCTGGATTGCATCAATCTATTGAGACCACTTCTTTGGTCCTTATCTGGTGCCTCCTGTTGATATGTCTTCATTTATATGAATGATTTTCATCTTTCAATAAAATCCTCTTGAGAACCACAGCTAAGAGGCCCTGTCTTCCCACTGATTGCTCTGCCCAAGGCCTTGTAAGTACAGGAATTCCACGGTTGTACTCCTACGGTAGTAGATGTTGACAAGAGAGGAATTAAGATAAAGAGAGCAGATCCATGTGTTAGGCCTTGGTATGGAGCTTAAAGCAAAACGATTACACGAAACTGGACAAAGAATGTTCTTTGGACAAACTCCGACATTCTTCCATTGTCTGGTTTCGTTTCTACAGTTAGTGCCTCTGAAGAAGGGACAGAAAGTTCGGGGCAGTGACCAAAGTGGGGGTGTTCCAAGTTTCACAACCAAGACACCACGTTCTGTTGGATCCTTTCTGAGGACTCTGACGGAGTCCTTTCCCACCCTTCCAAGCACTTCCACGGTCTAGAGAAAGCGAGTTCAGAGGACTTGGGCAACCCCTCAACCCCATGACTATTGGCAGAAGCCCTCCACGTGTCCATGTCTGTCTTGCCAGCAGCCCAGTGCCTGTCTGCCTGCCCTGGCCATGCGTTCCAGATGGACGGCACATGCTGCTATGTGAACATGCCAGGCCTGGGAAACCTGACATGTGTGTTTGATCAGCGAACTCAAGGGCTTGGTCATTGGTGAGAATTCCCTTTTCCCTTGGACTTGTCTACCCAGACATGTTTGTGCTCTGATGACAATTGATAATTACACGGCGTCTCGCGACCTCAAAATCTTCAAAGTCCTTGTAGAGGGAGAATGTTCTCAGGCCTTCTGTTTGGCTTCTACAGGCCTGAGTGTCACGGAGGTGGCGAGTTGTCCGACATCCACTGCTGAGGGTGGGTAGAGAGTTCAAAGCAGAAGCAAAGGCTGTAATCAGAAGTCGCCCTCCACAGTTGGATTACAGATTGCAGGGAACTTCTCCCGCACTACTTAAAGCTAGGGATGCTACAACAAAGAGAACTATAAGAAGGGACCCTCGGTATTTCTCTGAGTTAACCCAAGGGCACAGCCCCTCTTGTCATGTAGACCTTTTCTGCCCGACTTGGCCTGTTTTGGGCCTTTTGGTTTTAGAATCTAGGAAGGGGGATTAACAAGGAGTGCATGACAGTGGGGGACAGTGTGACATTTCTGGGGCAGAGGCTACTGATGTCTCTTCCAAATGCCATCCACCTGTCTAGCTCAGGGCTCATTTGTCTGCAGTAAAGACAGATGCCTCTGGCGGCGGATGGCTTCTCACCCCAGGCGCCAGGGTCTCCAGCATCTCTCTGCTTGGGGGCTTTCTGTGCCCCCATGGGATCTACTCAACTCTTCCAGAGCAAAAAAGATGTTTTTTTGGGTTAACTATTCCCAGTGGGAATTCTTAACACCAAGATACAGGGCTCTACAGACCTGGTTTCCTGATCCTGGGGGAGGGGCAATTCTGCAATATGTTCTACATTATCTGCATGAGGTCCCAGTATGACGGACTGGGCTCCAATTTGCCTCCAGAAGTGGCTTGTCACATTTTTTTTCCCTCTTCCCTTCTCACTTTCTTCATTATTTCAGGCTTGTTTCCTAGACTCAAGTATGAGTTAATTTTCCAGCTCATAGTTTATGTCTCAGCATATATCTGTTAGGATTCCGCCACTCACTCCAGCTATATTACCATGCATGCGCAGTTCAGTAGTTAAGCAAGGGGTCTTACGTCTTATGTCATCAGTGCGCTGCGTAATTGTGCAAATGCGTGCAGCACAGTCACACAACCAGCGCATGCGTGGCGTAGCTCCGTAAGCCCTCCTGTGCACGTGCACGTGTCTCTGCCCCAGGCCTGGCCACGCGCTCTTCTGTCCCCCCTCCCAATGCCTCCTAATAAAGCTCTGATACTGGGTTTTGTCGTGCCTCTGACCTTTCCTCGCACAGTAGCCAGCACCGCTGGTTTTTATTTAAAACCAGCAATATTTTTATATGGTTTCTATGCAAAGACACTCCCTAAGTCAGCGTGACCTACACTCTCAGTCATGAATTCAGTTGAGTGGGCACAGCCATTGCCAAACGTGTCCCGTTTCAGGATAGCATCATGAGCACTCGGTTCTTGGGTTCTGCACATGTGCATGCATACTGAATCATGGTCAAGATTTGTTTCTTCTTGTGGGTTGCGCTTACAGGAGATTGGAGATCACAGTCCCAAATGCTTTTTACATTCTACGTATCCATTCTTCTTGCATTCTGTTTTTTTTTTTTTTTCCAAGTGAGAAATGAGATCAGAGAGGAAAAGGAAACAATGGCACCTGAACCTGGAGGCAGCATATCTCGTCGTCGTTGTCATGGGAACAGGAAGAGCCTGGATGCCAGTTTTAGAAGTCAAAGCTCAACCTGATGACCTCTGATGCTGTTACCTGCTCTGACAAGCTGGCATCCACCATTCCTGGAGGGCTGGCAGATGGGCCTGCCCACATGGGTGGCTATCTCTTGATCTGCCCCTTGAGTGGTTGGGTCAGAGGTTAGGGAAACTGCCACCCCTGCCAGGACAAAGCAAAAATAGGCAAGAGACTCTTCCCAGAGTGCCGACTGTGTGGGAGAGGATGTCACCCAGGGGTCACAGGGAAGTCACACTGCCTGTGGGGAGGTAGAAGGGGTACAGGGTCTCTCCAGTTGGTTCTCTGTCTTTGGCAAGGTACAGCTTCTCTGAAAGGAGCTGATATGGCAAAGAGCACCCAGAAGGCACAGAGGACATGGCTAATTGGATGCCACAGGAAAGCTGTTTTGTTACTGCAGATCTCAATGTTCCTGAGATTAGAGTCTTAGATGTTTCCATCCTTGCCCTAATGCTTTATTCTGTGCATGCCTGACTTAGTGGCACCCACAGGTCCTTGTCATTCCCTGACCTGGGAATCCTGGGATTTGCCCCCCAACACACACTTTCTTTATATTCACTGTTTAAAACACCAGCCATCTTGTGGTAGTTTAAATAAGAATATCCTCCATAGGCTCATATATCTGAAGGCTTAGTCACCGGGGAGTGGCACTGTTTGAGAAGGATTAGGAGGTGTGGCCTTTGTTGGGATAGGTATGGCTTTATTGGAGTATTGGAGGAAGTGTGTCACTGGGTGTTGGCTTGAGGTTTTGAAAACCCATGCCAGGTTCAGCCCCACCCCCCTCGCTGCCTGTGGTTCAGGCTCTCAACTACTTCTTCAGCATCATGCCTGCCTGCATGCCATCATGTTCCCCACCCTGATGATAATAGACTGAACCTCTGAAATCGTAAGCCAGCTTATAATTAAATTTTTTTTCTTGTAAGAGTTGCCTTGGCCATGGTGTCTCTTCGCAGCAACGGTGACTAAGACACCTCCCTTCTCTATACCATGATTCCAGGAGTCAGGGAGGTTGAACATCTTAGTTTCAATCTCTTGGTGCTCAGAATGGAAATTAGGGCCTCAAACATGCCAAGCCTGCATTTTAATACAGAGCTATGTCTCCACCTCTCACACAATGTTTGTTTGCTCTCCTTTTTACATCTTTACTAATTCATTCATTAGTATACAACTTGGAAGAAAGGAAGTAAAGAAAAGAATAGGGCCTGAAATCTCACCTTAAAGGACAGATGATAAGGTATTTTCATTAATTTTTTTCATTTATTTTACATACTTACCACAATTTCCCCTCCCTTCTCTCCTCCTGTTCCCTCCCCCCACCTTCCTACTTCCGCCCCCATCCACCCCTCCTCCATTCAAAAAGGGTCAGGCCTCCTTTGGGAGTCCACACAGCATGGCACATCAAGTTGAGGCAGCGCCAAGCTCCTCCCCCTGCATCACGGTTGGGCAAGGCAACCCAGCTTGGGGATTGGGTTTCCCAAAGCCAGCTCAACTGCCAGGGACAGGGCCTGATCCCTCTGCTAGGGGCCTCACAAACAGACCAAGCTACACAACTGTCACACACATGCAGAAGGTCTAATTCGACTCCATGCAGGTTCCCTAGCTACCGGTTCAGAGTCTGTGAGCTCCCATGAGCTCAAGTCAGCTGTCTCTGTGGGTTCCCCCATCATGATCTTGACCTCCCTGGCTCACACAATCCTTCCTCTCTCTCTCTTCAACAGGACTCCTGGAGCTCAGCCCAGTGCTTGGCTGTGGATCTCTGCATCAGCTTCCATCAGTTATTGGATGAAGGCTCCATGATGACATTTAGGGTAATTACCAATCTGATCACAGGAGAAGGCCAGCTCAGACACCCTCTTCACTATTGCTAGGAGTCTTAGCTGGGGTCATCCTTGTGGATTCCTGGGAGTTTCTCCGTAACCAGGTTCCTTCCTAATCCCCAAATGCCCCCCACTCTATCAAGATAACTCTTTCATTATTCTCCCTTCCTGCTCCCAGCTCCCTCAACCTTATCCCTCATGTTCCCATACCTGCATTCCCCCCATCCCCACCCCACAAGATTTGGTTTTAAATTGGAAGAAACTAAGGCAAGAAAAAAAATAGAGGAAATGAATTAGCAACAGATAGCAACCTTATGAGGTGGCTGGAGGGTTGGCTCAATGGTTAAGAGCACTGGCTGCTTTTCCAGATGATCCAGGTTCGGTTCCCAACACCCACATGATGGCTCATAACCACCTGCCATTCCAGTTCCAGGGATCCTACACCCTCTTCTAGCCTCTGGATATCAGGCACACATGTAGACAAACATTCATGCACATTAAACAAACAAACAAGCTTTAATAAAAAACAAACAAACAACAAAGCCAGTTGGTGGTGGCGCACGCCTTTAATCCCAGCACTTGGGAGGCAGAGCTAGGTGGATCTCTGAGTTCTAGACCAGCCTTGTCTACAGAGTGAGTTCCAGGGCAGCCAAAGCTACACAGAGAAACCCTGTCTCGAAAAACAAAACAAAACAAAACAAACAAACTAAACTAAAAACATTAGCTAAGAATATATAGCTCAATGGTATAGTATTAATACAAGGCAGTAGTAGTGCCTTTGATTCCAGAACTTGAGAAGTAGAGGCAGGCAGATCATTGAGTTTGAGGTCAGCCTGGTCTACCCAGTGAGTCTGGAGT